GGCCGCCTTACTCTCCACCTGTGCCTCCACCATCCTGGATGGGGAGAGAGCTGGTCTCCCCTGGAGGACAGTATGTGGGGCGTGCCAAGGGTCTCAGGCTTTGACCTGTATATCGCCCAGTGGCATACCATCGCTGCTCAAGCCTCCCCGGCCCGAGCCCTTCAGCCTGCTATAAGCCAAGAGCATGTGACGTTCAAGCAGGAGTTGGAGGAAGCGCAATCGCCGTGGACGTAAGGGCTGTAAAGGTGCAGCCAGTCCAGCTGCACCACGACTGTTGGCTGCTGCTGAGCTTCCTGATGTGCCTGCTGCCTCTGAGGATGTTGGTGCAGTCATGTTCCGGTGCTGGCTTCCAGAACTGCTACTCCCCCTGAGCTGGTTCTATGTGCAGGACTTGTGCTGGCTTCTCATCCTGTTTCGGTGTCTGCTTCCAGATTTTCTGTGACCCGGACGTTTCCACTTCCTACGCCCTGGCCACCCTTGCAGTCCACTGCCCAACCTAAGAACTTTCAGTCCTGTGTCTAGACAATGTTTTACCCCAGCTTTTTTTTTCCGTTCCCGTTTCTGTTAGACTATTTGTGCCTTTTAGTGTTACTGTTTTTGAGCACATTTTTAGATTTGTATCTGTCCCTGTTCCAGTCACTATCCCTCTGCCCGTCACAGTCTCTGTCCCTGTTTCTGTTATTCAGTCCCATGCCCAGTTTAGTCGAAGGTCCCAGTCTGTCCTGTCCCCTGTTTAGTCTCCTGTTTGGTCACGTTTCATGCTTTTTTTGGTCACAAGAAATAGACACAGGAACAAGGCAGAACATGCTTTCTGCCATGTGCTTGTGTTTTTGTTTTGGTTCTTTGCCCTGCCCCTTTTCCCAGCCTCCCTGTGTTCTTCTCTCAGGTGTTCCCTATTTGTTCTTGCCTTTATCAAGCACTTTGTTTCAGTTGGTGTTTATCTGGTCTACTCATCACTTCGTTAGATGTAGTTGTTGTGTGACTACCTCATGTTTGGTTTGCTCAAAGTGTTTCTTTTAAGCTTAGTAGTTTGTTTTGTGTTCAATGTTTCTGCTAGTCTGCTTTGTTTATTAAAGTGTGCTGGTACATCAGCCTCCTTGCTCACTACACACATGACACACTGGTACTCAAATATGGTATGGATCGCTGTGGCCATGCTAAATGTAATGGTGAGGCTGACAAGGCAAATGAAAAGACAAAGTACATGTGAGTGCATTTTATTGGATTGGATTGGGTGAGACAAGCAGACAGGAACGTTGAGAGCCTGGAAATCCATGAAACATGAAGATTAAACACAAACCAGCATTTAAAAAAAAAAAAACTATAAACTAGGCACAAACATACAAAGTAAAACTGGAAGCCTGGAAAACTGTCATAAATGCAATAAATGCTTGCTATTATATTTCAATGTGAAAGGTGACATTTAAGTCAGAAACTTAACTTATTATCCAAAGTAATTCCCATTTACCTTCAGTGCAGTCTGTGAGTAATTGAACAGTGACAGTTTTTCTTGTTTTAGCTTTGTAGTTAAGGTGCAGAATGTCTTCTTTAATTCAGTGATTTTTTACATTTATACAGGTTGAATCATGTGGGAATCAGAGCCCTGTGGTCTCTTGATATCTGGGGGCCAAAAGTAATCGGAGAAGTTAACAAACTTGCATAAAAGTGCTTGGATGCATATCCCTCTAGATTAATTAGTTAATTGATGTAACTGATGTAATCTTGCAGGGCCATGTGTGATCTTTTCAAAAGAATATTGTAACTTCATGACATATCTAGTATGTGGCAAGCCCACTTCAGAGACGTCAGTACAGCTCAGGACCATTTCTTGGTGGAGTGTGTAGACATCCTGTTAAAGGCTGAATTAGATAGTGTTTAGTATTACAAAGGTAAATGGGACTCATTCATGAAACATGAGTAAAATGAAATTGTGCACAAATTGTGCATAAAACCCTTTATGCAAATCTCAGCTTTGATGAAAATTTTCATAGTAAGTACAAGCAAAATTTACACTTGTTCCTGGCCACTCATGAAATATATGTAAATCCCAAAAGACATGTCTAATGTCATTTGAGGAAAACTGACATGACTGCACTTTAACTGCTCTAACTATAATTCAAAAACTGAAAGCAAGCTTAGAAATGGCAAAAATGAGTGAAAAAGTGTTCTCTACAGCTTGTTTTCAGAACACCATTCTGTAAATCCAGAAGAACTGACTACACTCTTAATGAAAATGAACAGTTAGTTGAGTACCAAGACAAACTTGTGTTTATGCAGCACTTTAGAGCCATTTTAACTTTGGGCACTTCCCCTCTAATGGTTTCTGCATTGCCTTGCATGAAAGTGAGATGTTTATTATGCACATCGAATTCCTTGAAACATCAGGAAGTCACTAAAGATGAAAAAAGAAATTATATTACCTAAATATGTAATGAGTAAAACATTTTTAAAGGCAAACAGCAACGCTGTCACCACTGCACCCAGAGTTAGGCCCAACTAAGCTTAAAGTTAACTGGACAAGAAAGGAATGCTGTGTGGTGACACAGACTCCTGGATCGAGAATGCTGAGAATATTGTCTATAAATTAAACTGCAATTTATTAGAAACCCAAACAAGCATCCAATCAGCAATACAAAAATTAGCCAGTTATAAATGTACATAATTTAGTATTTGTGTTAGTCATTGTTAATAGTTAGCCTTTTATTTCACAGTAAATCAACTTGCAAGATGGGGGCCCAAAAAAAAAGAGTTGGCCCTGGTGTTTGTATGTCTTCAACAGGGATGGGGGAGTAGCTAAGTCATGTGTTACTTTTTGTAGCTAACTACAAATTTTTGTAGCTAATAGCTGTAGCCACTACAGTTATGAAATGTAGCTAATAGCTGTAGCACCTACAAATTTTTGTGTAGCTATAGTGATAATTTTGGTACTATTTTGCTACAGGCTTCAGGCAGTCCGCGCAAAATGTGAGCCATAGAACGCGGTCGTTAAGTGGGATACTGGTGACTGTGCAATCCTGACTGAGCTGCGGACAGTTCGAGCAAACGGGCATGCGCTGATCACCCCTCATGAGTAGGCTTAGCTCAGGGATCGGCAACCGAAATGGTAAGAAGAGCCATTTTGTCCTTTCAACAAAAATGAAACCACCTTGGGAGGCACAACATTTTATGTCCGTTTTATCATCACGGCTGTAAATGTGTCTGAGTATGTGCTGATGTACTACCATAGGCTAATATAACCATAGTATAATATAAACGAAAACTTAAACTTACTTTGCTCTGCTTAACCTAAGCCGCTTTTCTCGCACCTCAGTCAGAAAACTTTTCCGCAAAAGAGTCTCTCAAAGTTCGACGAGGCTTTAGTCAGTTTCTCATTCACCAACCTCTTGTTCAAATTATCCTGTTCTACCTTAAATGGTGCCTGAGGCGCCAGAATGTACTGCTGTGCCATTTAAGGTGGAAAGGGACAATTAGAACAAGAAGCTGGCGAAAGAGAAGAATTCAGCTTCGCGACTTATGTTTGACTGTTCCTCGTTGCAGATCAAACGTATCAGGAAATCAGCTGGAGTGCTTAAATGCAAATAAGTCCATTCGTCTCCAAATGATCGATGTTCGTCTTGCATCTTTCTCTTTGCTGTTTCATTAGTTACGAGCTAGGCGAGACTGTTGTCAACATTGCTGTGTGACCAGCAGTCTGCACGTCAATCTTAGCAGTTATGCGTTAACTCCAGCGTTTAAGACCATTTATTGTGAAAACTGTGTTAGAACTGTGTATTATAACGATTTTACAGCAAAGGAAGATTATGTTGTTTTACCTTAAAATCTAGTTCTGCTGTGGAGCCACAACAGCAGAGATTATTCAGGCCTGATTCTCACCTCAAACAGAGCCAGAGTCACAGATGAGAATTTTGAGGCTGAAGTCTTGCTGAAGTTTAACAAAGGACTCTGAATGTCATGTCTGTACACATCTTGCTAAAATGTTTAAGTTGGGGCAGTTTTATTTCAACAGTTGACAATACTTTGCACAAAATTGTTTGGTTTGTGTATGGTATTTTTGTTGATTTTTGTTAGGAAAAACCTGGAATGATTGACTTTGCCTTTACTTAGTCTAGATTTTTGTTGGATATCACGCCTTTGGTTGTGTAAGTTTGGTTGTTGGTTACACTTAAACTTACTTTTTGGTGCTCTTTTTGTATATTTGTAGCTTTTTAATTGTACAGGGAGATTCACTTGAAAGAGGCCCCGAATATTCTGTAATTACTCTCACTAGGATAAATCAATCTGAAAGAAACAATGTGCAATGTGCTCCTCCGTATATGGAGCTTCGAACAAGCCGGGATGCCCCTGCGTTGGAGTGATGAAGTAGGCGCCAGATAGCTGTCGAGACATTTAATCTCCATTTGCAACTTCCAGGTGCATACTCCCGTACCCCTTCATGTGTCTGGCAGAAAACAGAGATCACTTCCAGCATTGCATGTAATGCAATCGATTACACATACATCAAGGTATGTAGCGTATTTTTTTGGTTCCGATTGCTTCATCCTAACGGGAGCTATATTCAGGGCCTCTTTCGAGTGAATCTCCCTGTAGGTTTCTTTCTGGCACATGATTAAATACAGTGTCTTGTTCACACTATCAGTTGGGCTTATGATGGTGTGTCAGGTGGAGATACACAAACATTCTGACAAGTGTGCTTTGAAAGTAGCTAAAAAGTAGCCACTACTTTTTTCCGGAAAAGTAGCTAAATTGGATTTGGATAGCTACTGAAAAATTTGTAGCTAGCTACTTTCCCAAAATGTGTAGCTAGCTACAAATCTTTCAGTACCTATCCAAACCCTGGTCTTCAACCATGATAGTAATGCTTGTTTGTGGAAATTAATTAATTTAAGATGAATTAAATAAACTTTAGATGTAATTAGGGGTATCGTCGATATTAGGGCAACTTTGTTTTCTCTTGCGTAACGTGTACTCGCAGGCACCGCCCTCTCAGCGGGTGTACGGAGTGGCGTCATCGCTCTGTATGTGCGTGTGTAGGATGTTGTGAAAACAGATGCCATGTTTTTCTGCTCTGTGGTGAAAACGGGGGATTGGCGGAAGGCCGTACAAGAGACATGAAAACCAGAGAACTATGGAGAGGGATGTGTGCTGTTTGAAAGACGCAGATGACTTGGAAGGCTTGATGTTAAATTCCAGATACCGTGTGCAAACTGAGAGGTGAGCATAACTTGTTTTCAATCCTGCATAATCCATCACTGAAGCGTACGGCAGCTAGCTGCCTCGTAGCGAACTGTTCCCCGTCAGCAGCTTCTTTAGCTACGTTCCAAGACAGCTATTAGTATTAATGCTAAGATATATAGCTAGCTAGCTAGCTAGCTTTGCGGAAACAGGAGTTTAGATACCGTTTTACCGTTTTAGCAATCGGCAAGCATCGATGGTTTGCGCATTCATCTGAACGTTTCCACAGCTAATAATCGTTTTTCACTCTCTTACATTATTTCATTGCAGATATGTTGTGAATAGTTAGTCCAGTTTGTAGTTAGCTACAGTTTATCTACCCACTTAAGAGAAATGCAGTTCTGTGCTGATTTTTTGGGAACTTTGTCGAGCATGCATCTGTGAAAATGCTGGAGCTGAAACGAACTTTTGACTGGAAAAGCTAACCTACTGTATTAACTCGCGTCGTGAGTGACTAATTACGTGTTATTTTAATCAGGGACTCGGGCAGAAAAATGTAACGTTAATCGAAGTTGACTTGTTTAAACGCAGCCCAAAAGTGTGCGGTTACATTAGTTGCTTTTCACTATTTTACAGCACAATGCAGTTGTTCACCGACGAAAAAGAACAAGGCCAGACAGTTGCACTAGCTGAACGTAAGTGCGATCAGTTGGAGTGCAAAAACAGTCCTCATACAAACGTTGGCAGTGCTTAGCCAGACAGCCGTTCGCCGACTCTCCCTGAGGCTGGGCCAAAGTCGGCAGCCAGACTAGGCCAGTGTCTTTTTGAACATCGGCCCGAAGTTGGGCCAGCAGACTTGCCCCAGACTTGGCAAATGACTTGTTACCGACTGTATTTCTGCCTTTGCTATTGGTCAGTTTTAGTGCTTGATTAACATAATTTTCCTGAATATTAAAATTTTATGGTATGAATAGATGTTCACTGTTATAAGTAATATATACATGAAAATGATTGTTGTATTATTATCTAAACCACACACATACAGAGCTAAAACTATCTAAATTACATATGCATGCACCACACACACACATGAGCGTGCACGCGCACACACACTTAAAGGACAGAACATGTATTAGTGGTCGATTTTTGCATTATTATGTTTACAAAATACATTTCACTGTTATTACAAGCAAGACTTTAGTTCTGGTTTTGGACATTGGAGACACAAGACACTGTTAGTTAAACTTTATTTTATAAAACTTGCATGCATTCTTAAAATGAATCTGAATCATAATGGAATAAAGTACAGGTCCAGATCATTAAGAATATATAATACTTATAAAATGCCCAACACAAGCTACAAACCAACTGTTTCTGTATTCTGTTTCCACATTGGTAGCTTTTGCATGTTGGGGAAATCTTCTTTACAGCACCTGTAAATAATAAAATGGTCTAATATAAGAACAGATTACATTCAGTTCAGTTTTGTAATAAGCTGATAAAACTAGAAACATACTATACAGAAAGTTTCATCATTTTTTTATATTAAATAAGATTAATTATTTTGGGGAGATTTTTACTATGTACACAAAAACACAGATTTTAGATCCACAGATTCAAAACTTAATACTTAATAAATAAAAAAACTTAATAAGTTTCTCCAGAACAGAGCATTTCACACCAAACGACTCTGAATGACTTTGTTTACACCATAACCATTTAACAGTGGAAGTCTCCTTTAATACACTGCAAAATGCACAACTTTGTTTAACAACCAGTTTCCCAGACAGCTAACAGGTTTCTACAATATTACAAGATAGCCTTTAAGTTTAAATACCAATACCAAATGATTCGCTGAAAAACTGCAAAATACAAAAAAAGTATATCACATGCATATCTTACATGCTTTAAATGTTTATAAACTACAGCTGTCTCAAGTAGTATCAAACTTTACATGTGAAAGTGAATATACTGTTATGTATACCATTATATACACTCGGTAACAATCCCATATAGATGCAGGTGGAAATTAGCTGTATTGTAGCGATAATTAGTTAAACAAAGCCTACGCGTAAGGCGGGTTTCCCGGACAGGAATTACGCCTAGTCATGGACTGTTTTTTACTTTTAATGTAAAATATCCATTTAAAATCCTGTGTTGTCCAGAACTATGCATAATCCTTGTCCAAGAAGCTGGTCAAAAAAGTTTATATGCTATACACTGCCATATAATGAAACAGCTTGCGTAAGTTCATGATCATATGGCGAAAAAATCCTACAGAAATATCCTACGTTTTGTTTTATGTTAGGCTGTGGACATGACCATAGGCAAAAAGATCACCAGGGGCTAAATATAAGTTACATTTCAGAAAACCAAAATATATAGCCTACTGCCCATCCCTAGTATTTCCACATATACATTGAATATTTACAGTCCTATTACTGTAGAAATCTATGTTAAATTTAGGGGTGGTGTCTAAGTAGAGCTATCCTTCAACTTGGGTAGAGCAGAGAGCTCCATACCAGGTGTCTGTTTAAACTGTGCCGAACTGCAGGGGCTCTATTTTGTGGTCATAGTGCAAGCGGAAAAATAAGGCATAAAATCACTGATCATTGATGCGTGTGACAAATTTTTTTGTATTTTCCTGATTTGCATGGCGGCTCCAACCTGAAGCAGAGCAGCACAACTGTAAACAGGGCAGAGTTACAGCGAATAATTGATCAAAAGGTGTGGTTAGGCCTGGTGCAGGGACAGCCAATCAGGTCGCCTCCTCTCATTCCCTTTAAGAGATGTAAGAGCACTGACAGTAGCACTGTAATATTTTCCTAATAGGGTAAGATCACTGCTTTTGTACAAAACAAAATCTTTATTTTATGAATGGATAAAAACTGCCGAGTCTATTATTTAAAGGTTTAAATGATTTACATGAAACATATTATTTACATCTATAAGAATCACAAAGAACAAAATAATTACTATTATTATTTTCATTATTATTTAGAACAATAAATGAATAAAGTAAAATTCAAATGAATAATTAAAATTGAAGTAAATAAAATTAGATAAACTAAAAACAAATATATTTTGCATACACTGTCATCAGGTAGCCTAAAATTGTCAAGAATTGCTTAATTTGCTGTTGCCGTTGTCAGGTGGAACAATGAAATACATTTTGAAGTTTCCTTGAGGGAGTACTACGACAGAGTCCAAAAAGATAAATGTTGGAGAGAAATACCGTGTACAGAGTCTGTTTACATACAGCAAACCACTAGCTAGCAACATTTAATGCTCTTGATATGTCAACACATTTGTTACTTCAAGTTCTCTCGAAACGACTGACAGCCCATACTGTCCTCTTTATGACACCTAGGAAAGAGTCCACAATGAGTTTTTTTTTTTTTTCTTTCTTTTCTTTTTGCTTTTGAGAACACAAACTCAGCAGCATCACACATAGCGCATCTGATGGACAGCTTCTTGACCCGCCTCCCCAATGACTATGAACTTGCGCAAGAACGTGAACGATGATAAACTTGTAGTGTTGCCAGTCTCCCGACCAACACACGGCACAAATTTATGACACTGTTTGCCTAATCTAACGTAGTGACCATCATGAATAGTGACCATTGATATACAGTAAGATTGAACTTAGGATGGCACTAGAAAGAGCCCCAGATCTGTTTCCACTAAGAATTTGCTTTAGGCTTGCCTTCTTTCTGGCTTTCTCTCTCATAAATATGGCTCCCTGTTGTCCTTCTGTGTTCATGCATGCCCAGCCTGGGTGGACGGTAGTGCATAGGATTTCATTTTCCTTTAGCTCCAGAACAGCACACACTGTCTGCCTGAAAGACAGAGGCAGATCCACTATCACTTAAGGCAAGCTTCAGAAACATGTTCCATGCAGTCAGGGGCAGGTTTAGTAATTCTGGGGCCCTAGGCAAAAGACAGGAATAGGGCCCCTGGATACACATTTTTAAATAACACTATGCACTACACTGCAAAAAATAAGTCAATACATCCAATATTTCTCATTTTTAGATTGTTGTAAGAAAATGTCTATATAAGTAGACATTTTGCTCAATTTATTATCAAGGGAATTTTTCCATTGTATTGGCAGACATTTTGCTTGTTCTAAGAAATAATGCTGGAAACCAAATCAAAATGGTCTACTAATATAGTGAGACAATTTGATGCAGAGTAATACTGAAGTGAAGTACTAATTAGAGAAAGTACTTATATAAACGTATTAAGTAAAATAATCCCACTGCAATTTGAGAAAAGTAATTGTTAACTTGTAACAAATTCCTTTTTTAGTAATTAGCCCAATACTGCCATCTATACTAAAATTAACGGCAGCATTATGTACAGTCTGCTAAGCCTGTGCTGAAGGGCCATAACTAGAATAAAAGATTTCATGAGGCCTGTTTTGCTGAAAAGTAACCATCACCACACAGTGAATAATACCATCTACACCAACTGTCAAATTCTGTTTTTTTTTTTTTTAACAAATCATTGCTCCTTGTATACCCATCCACATTGTTATGCACTTTTTCCTTTTATTTGTTTCTTTCCCATACCTCCATTCTTCCATAAACTGCTATTACTGTTCCTTTATTTTCAGCTTTAAATACATGCTGACATCTGCACTAAATCAGGTGGTAGTTTCAAAATGATTTTAGTTCATTTTACCATTCATCTCTCTCTCTCTCTCTTTGCTGGTCTTGCTCCTCGGTCCTCACTGATTGCTGAAAAAGTACACATTAAACATATGTCCGTCTCTAACAAACTCTGGCTTACATGAAGCACAGGGTACTCATACAGTTAGAAAGACAAAATACAGCCCAATGTACCTGCTGATTTTTGCATTATGTTAAATGATACTTGCCATGAAAATGCAAGTTTACAGTGAACTCTCATGCTGGATGTAGGATGTTATGCATAGGTAACAATACAACTTAAGTTCATCTAATCGCTAATATAGCCAACTAAATATGGAGCCTGTAGCCTAAACTCAGCAGCTACTGGAACTAAAGCATCTAGCA